TTCCAGGGTACATGTATTATGGCATCAGAATTATTAACACACACTCCTGTGTAAATCAACTTCATCACTAGCAAAAGTGATTACGGACATGTTCTCATCTTCTCTTTAAGATTAACTCAACAGATTCTGTACATTTCCAAAGTTAAGTCAGCACCTTTTCCTCCAAACCCCTTTAGAGAGATTGTCTCATACGTGTGTAATACTGTCAGAGGGCTTTGTCACATTCCACATTCCATCCTGGGATCTCCAACCTCCCAAATGATTTCTAAAAAATTTTCATACATTATGGTTGGCTCTTTGTACTGTAAAGTTTAATGGGTTTTGACAAATATAGTATCATGTATCCACCACTGCAGGATCATACAGAAAAGTTTCACTATCCCATAACTACCTGAGGCTTCACCCTTTCAACCCTATCCATCCCACCAAGCCCCTGGCAACCACTGGTCTCCTCTCTGTTGCTCCAGTTTTGCCTTTTCCAGAGGATCATTTTGCTGAAGTCATATAGTATGGACCTTTACAGACTGGTTTCTTTCACTGGGCAATACGCATTTATGATTCATTCTATCCTTCCTTCCTTCCTTCTTTCCTTCCTTCTTTCCTTCCTTCCTTCATTTCTTCCTTCCTTCCTTCCATCCTCCTCCCTCCGTCTCTCTTTCTTTTTGTGGCTTAATAGCTCAAATAGATGCATTTTCCAAAATACATGCATAATTCAAATATATGCATTTAATGCTAATATTCTATTATATGAGTGCACCACAGTTTATGACTGCATTACCTACTAAAGGACATCTTGGTTGCTTACAGTTTTTTGGCAACTATGAATAACGCTGCTGTAAACATTCACGTGCATTTTTTTTTTTTGTGTGAGAACATAAGTTTTCAAATTGGTCAGCTAAATATCTAGGGGAATGATTACTGAAATTTATGCTAACACTATGTTAAGCTTTCTAAGAAAACACCAAAGTGTTTTCCAAAGTGGCTGTGTTATTTGGCATTTCTACCAGCAAAGAATGGGAGTTCTTGTTGTCCCACATTCTTGCCAGCATTTGGTGTTGTAAATTTAAAATTGTTTTTGCCATTCTAATGGGTGTATAGTGATATCTCATTTTTTAATTTGTAACTCCCCAATGAATCTTTTCATATGCTCATTTATCACATATCTCTTACTTGCCATGTACGTTTTCTTTTGAGAGGTGTCTGTTCAGGTTTTCTGATTTTTTTTTTTTTTTTTATTGAGCTGTTTGGTTTCTTTTTGTTGAATTTTAAGAACACTTGTATATTTTGGATATAAGTTCTTTATCAGATACGCCTTTTGCAAATATTTTCTCCTAGGCTGTGGCTTGGCTTTTGATTTTCTTAATAGTGTCTTTCACAGAGCAGACAGAAGTTTTTAATTTTTATGAAGTCCAACTTACCAATTTTTTTCAGAGATCATGCTTTTGGGGTTGTAACTGAAAACTCATTGTCAAACCCAGATCATTACCGATTTTTTCCCTATATTTTGACCTAGAAATTTTATAGCTTTGCATTTACATTTGGCTATACGATCCATTTTGAGTTGAGTTTTGTGAAAAGCATAAAATCAACATCTAGATTCTTTTCTTTTTCTCTTTTCTTGTTTTGTTTTTGCACATGGATATCCAGTTGTCCCAGTGTTATTTGTTGAAAAGACTATCCTTTCTGTAATGGGTTGCTTATGTGCCTTGGTCAAAGATCAATTGACTATGTTTGTGTGAAAATATTTCTGGGCTCTCTATTCTGTTCCATTGATCCATATGTCTATTCTTTCCTTAATACCATGTTTTTTGGTCACTACAGTTTTAGAGTATGTCTTGAAATTTGGTAGCATGTCTTGAATTTTCAATTTTATTCTTCAGTATTTTTGTGGATATCCTAGGCCTTTCACCTTCACATATATAACTTAGTATTAGTTTGTTGATATCTAACAAGTTAGTGTGCTAGGCTCTTGATTGGGGTTTTGTTGAACCCCTAGACCAAGATGAGATGAATTGACACTTTAATATTGAGTTTTCTAATCTGTGAAGACAGAATATTTCTCCATTTGTTTATATCTTCTTTAATTTTTTAAAATCAGAATTCTATACTTTTCCACGTATAGGTCCTGTACATATTTTGTTAGGTTTATATCTAATTATTTTACTTTTTGATGCTACCATAAATGGTAATTTTTGAAAAACTCCAAATTCGTATTGTTCACTGCTGGCATATAGGAAAACAACTGACTTTTGTATATGAAACTTGTATCCTGTAACACTCCTATACTCACTTACTTGCTTCAGGAGGTTTTTTTTTTATTTTTGTTTTGTTTTGTCTTTTAACTCTTTGGGGTTTTCAGCATAGATACTTATGTCATCTGTGAACAAAGTCAGTTTTATTTCTTCCTTCCCAAACTGTATACCTTTCATTTTCCTCATTTTCCTTTCTTATTGCACTAGCTAGGGTTTCTAGTATAATAAGTGAATAAGAGCTGTGAGAAGGGGCCTCCTTGCCACCATTTTAATCTTAGAGACAAAGCAACCAATTCTCAACATTAAGGATAAGGTTACCACAGGGGGTTTTGGTAGAGGTTGATTATCCAGTTGAGGAAGTTCCCCTCCAGTCTTTGTTGAGTTTTTATCATGAATGAGTGTTGGATTTTCCAAATGCTCTTTCTGGATAAACTGATATGATCATATGATCTTTTTTCTTTAGTCTAGAGAAGTGGATTATATTGACTGATTTTAGAATGTTGAACCAACCTTGCATACCTGGAATAAATCCCATTTGATGATTTCGTTACGTATTTACTTACTTACTTATTTAAACTTATTGCAAGGGAGGGGCAGAGAGAGAATCCCAAGCAGGCTCTGTACTGTCAGTGCAGAGCCCGATGCGGGGCTCGTACCCACAAACTGTGAGATCACAAACTGTGAAATCAGGACCTGAACTGAAATCAAGAGGCTTATCCAACTGAGCCACCCAGGTACCTCCCCCCTCAGTAATTTTATATATTGCTGGACTTTATTTGCTATATTTTTAATTGAGGATATTGATCTACAATTTTCCATTGTTGTGATGTCTTGATCTTTTTTTTTCCTTTGGTTTCAGAGAAATACTGACATCCTAAAATGAGTTGGTCGATAGTATTTCTGTTTCTATTTTGTGGAAGAGACTGTAGACTATTCGTATCATTTCTTCTTTACATGTTTTGGAAAGTTTATCAGTGAAACCAACTGGGCTTGGTGTTTTTAAAAATTACTTATTAATTCAATTACTATAATAAACATGGACCTATTAAGATTATCTGTTACTCCTTGTGTGAATTTTAGTAGTTTGTGTTTTTATAACCAATTGGTTTATTGCATGTAAATAATTAAATTTATGGGCATAGAGTTGTTCATATATTTCTTGATTATACGTTTAATGTCCATGGTATCAGGAATAATGGTTTTTCTTTCATTTGTGATATTAGTAATTTGTATCTTCTTTCTTTTTCTCTTGGTTTGCCTAGTTAGAAGGTTGTCAATTTGATTGATCTTTTCAAAAAACCAGGTTTTGGTTTTGTGGATTCTATTATTTTCCTGTTTTCAATTTCAATGATTTCTCTCATTTTTGTTACTTCTGTTCTTTTTTTCTGCTTCATTTAGGCTTAAATTGTTCCTCTTTCTCTAGTTTCCTGACATGAAAACTTAAATGATTGATTTTAGATTATTCTACTTCTTAATATATGCATTGAATGCCATGAATTTCTCTCTAAGCACAGCCTTCAAAGAACTCCATAAATTTTAATTAGCTGTATTTTCATTTTTTATTTGGCTCAAAATGTTTTAAACTTTCTTATGAAACAACTTCTTCTCCTCGTCCTCCTCCGCCCCCCTTCTCTTCCCCTTCCTCTCCCCTCTCCTCCTCTTCCTCCTTCTCCTTCTCATTTTTCTGCACTGCTCCCCCCCTTCTTCTTACTAGGTGTTATTTACAAGTGTGTTATTTAATCTTCAAGTATTTGGGGGTTTTGTTATTTGTTAATTTTGTCATGATCTCAGAACATAAATTTGTTAAGGTTTGGCTTTATGGCTCAGAATGTGGTTTTCCTTGGCAAATCTTTCACAAGATTGAAAAGAATGTGCATTCTGCTGTTGTTGGCTAGAGCATTCTGTAGGTGTCAAGCAGGCTGAGAGTGCTGGTCACATCCACTATATGGCACAAAGTTTCTGCCTGCTTGATCTTCCAATTACCAAAAGAAGGTATTAAAGTCTTTACTCATAATAATTGATTTATTTATCTTTTCAGTGTTATCTTTTTGCCCCTGTTCCACACTGCTGTTAGAGGCATACATGTTTATAACTTTTTAGTCTTCTTAGAGAATTGACCTCTTTATCAGCAAAATGACTCTATTTATCCCTGATAAATCTCTTTTTCCAAAATAAGTTTCAGATTTTTTATGTAGGAGGTGACCCCAAGATCAAGAGTGAGTGAATGAGGAGAGTAAAACAGGGAAGAAACAAAACCCAACAGCAGTCATTGAGGCTGTCACTCTTGGAAATGGGACAATGATTGTACTGGAACAGCTGAGATACATGTGGAATGCTTCCCAGAATTATTTACTCCAAAGATGGGAAGCTAGAACATTTATCTATTAGCTCTCAACCCTTCTTGGATGAGGGTGGTTCCCGAGGGTATTAACTTCCCCACACTTAGGGGCTGGGCTTGATGTGGGTCCAGGAGAGTTGAGCCCTGACACAGGAGGTGCTAAGGTAGGGTATGAAGTGTGGCCATGCACTTGCGATGAGTGTCCCTTGACAGCACAAGGAGGGGGGAGCTGTCCACTGAAGCTGTGACTAGAATAGGAAGCAAGCAATGCTAACAGGATGCAGAGCAAAACGAGGCATCTGCTGTGATGGGTTTCTACTGCAATCTTTAGCGTGGAAAATTACTGTAAAATACACCAGTGTACTCTCCTACCTGGATAGTGCCAAGGGATGCTATTTACGTCTCCTCACTATGCTGAAAGCCATCTTAAATAAGCATACCAAGTAAAACCAGTATGCTTACTATGGCCTGCAGCTTCACAACAGATTTTTTGGCTGTTCATTTCCACTCAGATGGCTGCTCCTCTGCAGACGGATGCAAATTCTGAAACTTGAACAGGCAGTACACACGCGGGATGAGATGGATTCGTTGCGTGAGCAGTGAGAAATTAGCAGGTCTGTGTCTGAACATCCATTTTTCTGAAATCCTATTCTATCCTTGTATGCCTTTATTTTGCATGCTTCCTCTGCAAATTAAGTGTGGTGAAAGGATATGCTTATCCGAAAGGATCAGTAAGGTGAAATGTGTTCAAATAACTCAGTTGTCTGACTGAGGTGTGGGTTACTTGCAATTTCTTATGACGGTAGGCCAGAAGGCAGAAGAAAGAATCACTGTCACAGTCAGTGTAAGTGACTTTCACCACCATGAGAAGCTAGAGGTGCTACTGCATAATGGGGGCAGGGAGAAGTAAACCTGAAACCCAGGGCATTCACTAGGGGTGTCTCTTGCTCTTTCTATACCTCTTGATAATGGTATACAGGAAAGTGCAATAACCAGTCCCACAGTGACAAGGAAACTACAGTAGGTATTTGAGTCCTTACCAGGCAACCATGCCTGGTGAAGTGCTAGCCAAGGGTGAAGGATAAACAGAATGGTTGGTGGAAAGAGATCTATTGAATATTAATTCTAGCCTCAGGACTGGCTGCAGCTGTCATTTAGGCTGGTTCACTAGCCCTCTTGGATTAAGTCTTGGCTGAAATTATGGTGTCTGCCACTTTAAAGAAGCTGCGTAATTATTTGAACTGAGAGAGTAAACGCATAGCAGAGTGGTTCAAAGGGTAGATCGGAGCACACATGTTGTGTGTATCACCTCAGAACTTCTTATCTATTCTTATCTTCACCTCTTATTTTAGCCCATCTGTGATAAGTGGTGGTTCCACTCATACCTCAGCCAGCTTTATTTCGGGGCTTTATTTGACAGTGCTTTATTTTGGGCTTCCAATGCATGTCTCCTGTTTTCTGTTCTAGAATTTCTCTCATGCTGTGGTGTGGGATGCCCTTGGCAATCCATTTGGCACTCATTCAGGCGCAGTGTATGGGGAAATAATTGATCCACAGAGAATAGGAGTCAAAGGTAAATGCTTCCTTCTTCAGTCCTCTGGGGTGGATGGACCTGAGAGGCATTTCATTCATCTAGCTTCTTTGAAAGCCCCATAGGATTAAGCATCCAGTTTCGCCTAGTGGTTGTTAGTATTGTCAATAATGCATCCACGTATTTGGTCTCATTCATTTTTCTGTGTTTATTTCTCTATCCTACACTTCCAAATAAGCTGCTTGGACATAAGTTTTTTTTTTTTTTGTTTTTTTTTTTTAATTTTAAGGGCTGCTTGCGGGGAAATAGAAATAAATCAAAATTAAAAGCAGATTAAGAAGCATAATTTTTACATGGACAGTGAACATTTTCAGTTTAATGTAACTCAAGAATCAAAGCATCCTAGTAATCTTTGTCATTTTGTTTAAATGATCACATGTAATATTAAAATCATCAAGGGTTCTATGCAGATATAATACCAAGACAAGTCTTCTTACCAGACTGTAACACCTAGATAGAATTGTAGAGCCGACGATGAATTGGAAGTTCTGACATCTGAGGAACAAGCACAAATATGTTGCCATTTTTTTTTAGCCACCGAGAGTGGGGCTGAAGTTGATGTAGTTGGAAGGGAGGGGTGGTTATCATTTCTGAAAGTGCGTTATAAGTTTCCTACTCTTTTGGTCTGTCTCATGTCCTTACCAATGATATTGCAGTTAGGCACTGAAGACGATTCTCACACTTCCTCAAACATATTTTCATTGTGGACTGAACTTCATTAAAGATACTTCACTACTGATACTGCATTTAAAATGTGCTATTTTTTTTTTTGGGAATATTCACGTTCAAATTTTTATTTATGGGTAACGAAGCACTGTAAACATGGAGGCTTAAAACAAAAACATCATTTGGCTCAGGAATCTGTGGGGTATCATGGGAACATCTTGTCTCTGCTCCACCTAGTATTAGCTGGGGTGGCCCAGAGGCTAGAATCTGCAGAGGCTCCCACGTCTAGAGTTTAAGCAGGGTGTCAGCTGGGGCTGTGGCGAGAAAGGGAAGTTAGATTCCGCATTTTGATGGGTTGTGGGTCAAAGAATTTACAACATGTTTTAAAACCCACAGAGTGTACCTAAAGAGTAACAGATCCCCCTGATTCTCACATAGCTACGACACAATTTTTCATGAGAATTACTTGCTTTACGATGCTTGATCTTATTTTCTAGAGCAATTCTGCAATAGGACTTTCTGTGATGACATAAATGGTCTATATCTGGCTCTGTTCAATATAATAATCACTAGCCAGATGTGGCGATTGAGTGCATGCCATATGGCTGATGAAACTGAGTTTTAAATTTCATTTAATTTTAATTAATTTACATTAAATAGGCGCCTGTGTATAGTGGCTACTATACTGGGCAGCTCAGGTCTAAAACAACAAGTATAAAGAAATAGAGTTCAAATTCCAGCAGTGATGTAAGTACTGGGCAGGCTTTCTAGTACAACCCTACAACATTCCAATTACAAGCAAAAGGCTTCCAGGCCTGACTGCATTCGAAGTACAAACGGAGATGATTTGGCCTAGGATGTCCTAGAGAGGAGAAATTTCCCAGCGTGTGGGTGTGGAAAAGCAGAATAATCACTGGTGAGAAGAGTCAGGACAACTCCTCAGGTGGGCAAGATGCTGGAATGGTTTAGACATGCAGATCCTTGCTCAACAATCTGTCTCTTCACACAGAGACGCTAGCCAACTTCTTTTGGCGTGAAGTGTGAGTGCTCCTTAAGCTTGGATCTCACAGGACGATGACTTCTGAAATTCCTGTGTGTGCCTGTCTTCTGTGCCTGCCTCCCCCAGCCTCTTTGCCCTCCTTACCCTTGTCTTTCCTGTTCCTTCCTCTTGAAACTTTGTGATTCTGGAGTCACAATGTTGAAAATGTCATGGCCATCCCATCAAAATAATGAACAACTGTCATCCAAAAAGATTCCTTGATCATCTACTATGTGTAAGGCTCCATGCTGGGTGTGTCAGTAAGAATCAATTTCTGCTCTTGGAACGCTATCATCTGGTTGGTGAGATTTAAGAGAACAGCTACAATTTAAAGAGAGTTTACTACTTGCCAAGTATCATGCTAATTTTTTTATGAATATGATCTCATTTATCCTTTAAAAATCCTATGACACAGAGACTTTTTATTCATGCATTATAGATGGAGACACTGATGTCAAGTGAGGTTAAACTAGCTCATTCAAAGTAAAACATCTATTAAGTGGCCTAGTGGATTTGAATCTAGGCTGAGTGAACAGCAAAGAGGACAGGTGGTAACATTTGCGCACCTGTCCCAAAGACATGACAATAGGTTGAAGAAGGAGTTGGTAAGAGGGGCTGTTCAAAAAGTATCTTTTCAGCATTACGACTTGGAAGAAAATATCTTTAGAACAACAACTAGGTAAGTGGGAAGGAATAAGTGGTAAATGAGAGAGGCTTTTTGAGAGTCACAGCCCTTCCATGAAAGGTTGGGTCCTGCCAACTTACTCTACCTGGGAAGGAATGTTATATTCAGTGTGCATGTTTCAACTTACTGAGCTCACTGGAAAGCCTTGAGGAACTGCATTCAAATGCCAGCATAGGCCTCCCTGAGACAATGAACAGATCCATATCACTATGAAATACAATTGGAAGGACTTCGATTAACTCTAGGGAGGGGAAAATATCTCTACGGAGGGCACAGAGAAAGATACAGAATTTGATGGGACGATCCTTTATCTAAAACTAAATATGAGCTAGAGATCAGTTGTTCAAGTCCTGGATTCAGAGACCTGGATTCGAATCCCACCTCTGTCATTGACTAGCTGAGGAACCCTGAACAAGATACTTAACTTCTTTTCGTATTCCTTGTTAGAAAAGTAGAGACAATAACAAGGTTATTGCAGGTGCTTGCAGGTTAGTTGTGAGGATGAGATGAAATAATTCATGTAAAATGCTCAGTGCCATGGCCGGCACATAATAATGCTCATTACGTGATAGCTGCTGCTGGTTTTAAAAGTCAGTGGAGAAGAGTGTGGCCTCTGGGCCACCAACTACTGGCTGTGAATCCCAGTTCTACATAATAAATATGGGACCCTGTGCAGGCTATATTACGTCTCTGTGCCTTGGTTTCCTTACTTACAAAATGGAGACAAAAATAATCCCTCACCCTTCATACTCATTAAGGTAGCTATTATTTAAAAAAACAACAACAACAACAAAAAACAAAAACCAGAAAATAAGTACTGACAAGGATCTGGAAAAATTGGAATCCTGGGCTCTGTTTGTTGGGAATGTAAAATGGTGTGGCTGCCATGGAAAACAGTACGGGGGTTCCTCAAAAAATAACACAGAGAATTACGATGTGATCCAGCAATTCCACTTTTTTTAAAAAAAAATTTGTTTTAATGCTTACTTATTTTTGAGAGAGGGAAAAAGACAGAGCATGAGATGGGGGAGAGGCAGAGAGGAAGGGAGACACAGAATTGGAAGCAGGCTCCGGGCTCTGAGTTGTCAGCACAGAGCAGTACGTGGGGCTCGAAGTCACAAACCACGAGATCATGACCTGAGCTGAAGTTGGATGCTTAACTGACTGAGCCACCCAGGCAGTCCACTACTTTGTTTTTTAAATATTTACTTTTTGAGAGAAAGAGAAAGAAAGAACACGTGCAAGAGGAGGAGGGGCAGAGACAAAGGGATACAGAGGATCCCAAGTAGGCTCGGTGCTGACAGCAGAGAGCCTGATGTGGGGCTCGAACTCATGACCTGAGCCAAAGTCGGATGCTCAACCAACTGAGCCACCCTGAAACAGAGTTTCAGTTTGGGAAGATGAAAAACTTCTGGATATGGATGTTGGTAATGGTTGTACAATAATTTGAATGTACTCAGTGGCAATGAACTGTACATTTAAAAATGGTCCAGATGATTAATTTTGTTATACGTATTTTATCACAGTAAAAAAGAGATAAGGTGTCAACTGTTTATAATATTACCTAGGACTTCATCTAAGGCTCTGCTAGGATGATGATGACGATGATTATCAATATTAGTATTTATTTTAT